TACAACACGATGGTGTTACCTGCAATCGTTCGTGAAAAGTATTTAATAAAACTGATCTATTTTTTGTGCATGGAAAAATACTTTGCTGAGAGCATTGGCGTATCAATTTTATTTTTGCTAAAAATATTATATGTAAGTTTTAAATCTTATATATAATAAAAATAAATTGATACGTCTACGCAATACAGACTTGTAAGTTGATATGTTATATCTAAGTTTTGCTACTAAATACTTCCCCAAAAAGAAGTTTATGTTTATGCTAGAAAGGCTGAGATGCTAATTTTATTTCTCGGCGTTTCAAGTCATTTTGAATCGTTTGACAAAATTGTTGGCAAAAGTGTGTGTTTCAAACTAAAATTTTACATTTCGTCGATGCTTTCTCAAAAAACGACTACATCAAAAATCAAAATTCATTTTATGAAATTCTATAAAGACTGAAGAATACATCTATAAAAAATTCGTTTTGGGCGACAATTGTTTGAGCCGTTTCATCAAAATTAGCAGAAAAGTGCAAAAAGTTTTGTTTACATTTTTACCAATTTGGAAAGTTTGGAAGCTTCCAAAGATATCAGGGCTGATTGTTTCTTCGTATAATTAAAAGTCCAGCCAGATGCTTTGACGATTTTAATGAAACTTTGCATATATATAGAGTTTATGGTATAAAAGATTATAGGCCTACTAAAACTTATTTAATTATAAAAATTGAATTAAAATATATTTTTATAACATTTGGAATATAGTTATTTTCAATTTTTCTGCTTAATACTTTTACTAAAAAAATTATGTATAACGATTTTTAAGGTCTGAATTTATTTTGTTTAAAGACTATGGTTAAATATAAATAAAATTTCTGTTATTTTTAAAATCTTGAACTATTATGAGTAACTATTAACTATGGATATAAAAAATTATGATATGTAAAATTAAATTCCACATACATATTTTTTTATTTTATATAAATTACAATTTGTCTTAATTAATGAAATTCAGTAATTGATTTATAATAATTTACAATATTAATGTTTGAAAGGTTACTTGTTGGTAGGTTCAATACAATAACTAATTTAAATCTACACGTAATATAATTATAATTATTCATTAAAATAAAAATACATTTGTATTTAATGTTGACATTTCAAAATGTCCTGTAAAGTAATTTTTCACTCATTCATTCATCATTATTATATGTTTATGAGGTCAAACAATCACGTTATCAAAAAATACTAGTTAATAGGTGTAATCATTGTCTTCCATATATTATGCCGAATATCAAATAGTTTAAGTACATGGAACCAATATATAATTTACGATCTTGAATCGCGCAGGATAATATGTGAAATTACTTTTGAATAAATAACGAAATCGAATCAATTTTATGTGTTACTATAATTTACAATGATATGTGATTAACTTTACAAAGAAGAAGTTTATGTTTTCGCCAGAAAATTCTTTTTGTCCATGTTATATTTCTCTACATTTAAAGTCATTCTGAATTATTTGTATCAAATTGGGATATGCATGAAAAAACTTTGTTATCTATGGATTTTTCTTTTTCTTTTTCCTTTACGATTTTTCATTCAAATGCTGCAGCAGAGCTAATCCACTATAGGTCATCCGGAGTATCTGAAATAATGATAAAAGTCTTCTAGATTTTGTTTAATACATAATGAAATATTCATTTTATTTTATTACTATAAGAAATGTAAAAACTTATTACCATTATTAGAGTTTGTAAATTCATTGGACAAAACCCAGCGGTCATAATTAACGGTTTTTGTGATTGCTGCATTATTAACTGAATAGCCCGCTTACAACGCGGTTCTGATTCAAGCCAACACGATTTATAAGCTGCTTCGGATAAATTGATACTCTGGAAATTGAATTTTGATTTTCCATTTGAATTAAATTTTAATTTATAAGTGAATTTCAATATTTGTATAAAAATGTTACAAATTATCAGTAGCAAATAATTGAACGATGCTCAGAATATCATAAATATTGCTCTTATTGATATTTCAAACATTTCATAGAATACAATTTTATTTTATTTTTTTATTTTAGAAATTGCAGTATCGTTTATGTAATCTAACGTATTTTTGTTATAAAAATTTTAGAGACATTAACTATTGAATTTTAGTCAAGTGCTATGGATAAAATCTTCCAAAATGCAGCGTTTTTTAAATATATTCAATTATTGTTAAAACCAGATCCAAGCATATTCAAAGGATTCTAAAGAAGCGCAACTTCAAAATTAAACACAGAGATTTTTTAGAGTATAAATTTTTGTGATAAAATTTATACTTACTTCTAATACAATTTCATTGGCGTGCCAGTAGTACATGAAAAAAATAGAAAAAACTGTTCCAATGTATCCAAATGTAATACACATCTCCAATCCGAATGGCATCTGATTTAAATGATATTATTTTAGAAATTGATATATTTATATATTATATTAGATAATAATTGATCAAATTTTACCATCGTTACTAGGAAAATTTCAGCACATAATACTAGTCCTATAATAAAGAAATCTAAGTTTAAAGGGATGCTTATCATGTGCTCTAAATTCTTCAAAATTCTGAAAGCGAAAAATTTTTTTTAATAATTTTCTTACATACTTTTACGTACATACTAACAAGTTTTTTATACTTTAATTGAATACTGATCTTTATATCGAATACTTATTAAATCATCTGAGTTATGTTAAAAAAAATTAATAAGTATTCAGTACGATCGATTCGATCGTATCGTTTTATGTTTGTCAATTCTTTAGTGAAACTCACTACTTATTTTAAAAAATTGAATGGTTTAAATAATCTAATTAAATAATAATTATCTAATTTAAAGACAAACAATAACTACTTTGCAATGAAATATATTTTATGATTTTTTTTCTTAATAATTGGATAGATGGGATGTATGAACGATTTTCTGTTCACTCTTAACTGTATGAGAATTTATTATAATTGTTTGGAAATTTATTTTATTTACCTTTGATGTTATATATTTCTTATATTCACCTTATAATTGTAGATGATCATCAACACATTTCGTTATAAATTCATATCTGTAGTTGTCTTTACAAAATTCATTTAAATGTTCTATTTTGTATTTAAGAATTTGGATTAAACATTGCACATACATCAGCAATGATATCATCATAGTATTCCATGCAATTATAATAGGATTGAATATATTTAGTATCAATTCAATGTATAAAAACACTATTATTCGGTTGCTTTCTACATCGAAGGGTAGATACATTGCTACTACGAAAACTTCAATTTTATCTCCAGGCCTGAAAGAAAAAATATTAATTAATTATTATATATATATATATATATATATATATATATATATATATATATATATATATTCTTACACAAACACAAATTCCAAACACAAAAGCCCAAAAAGGTTAAATAAATAAAAATTATTATAATGTTTAATTGAAGTGATAAAACAGAGTAATTATAATAACATTTTAGTTTATTTTCGTGCTAAGAATATAAATATTTTTTATTACACTTACCTATAAAAAACAAAAAATAATGCTATGAGATATATATTGAATACCACGATGGACAAGCCAGTAATAGCACAAACTATTTTAGTCAATATGCTATTATATTTAATATATTTGTTTAAAATCTCTTTAATAGCTTCCTGTTCATTGTTATTGATATATTTTATCGTATTATCTAAATCTGTAAATATTACATTAAATTGTTTGCTATAAATTATAGAAACAAATGCCTTCGATATCAATGAAGAATACACCACCACAGTTCCACCACGAGCTGTTAATCTCATCAAATTTCCTAAATTTTCATATGCGAAAAAATATTGTGATACATTTACTATTATCATAAATGTTAAAATTGTATATCGTTTTAATTTCTCTATGTACGGAAAGGAGACTTTTTTGAAATCAACCAAGCCATAAATGTGCAAACCTGGAAAATCGGATAATCTATAATATAAAAGATAAATTATTAAATTTAAATTATAATTTAGTATATTATACCCACCTTTCAAATGTATCCCAATAAAAGGATTATTTTTCAATTCCAAATCCATTGTCTTGTACAAAATTATGATAAATGATAATCTGCAGAAGCTATAAAATCAACTGATTGAATTATCATTTATAATTATTTAATTGAGTTCTACTGCCATTCAAGATATATGATTATGTGATTATGGCAGTGACTTTAGTCTGCGGAATAATTGGGTATAGGCATGAATTATTACTTAGAATAGAATATGGTTTGTAAATTTTAATAATTGTCTCCAAAACGAATACCGTTTGCAATTTACATTTTTAATAAGTTATTGTCCACGTAGTTTAAATCAGATTTGCAACTTTCTATGTAACCAACATTTTCATTTATTTGTTTAAATAAAGAACTTAATTTTATTATAACGTTTTGGTAAGGTTGATTTATTAAAAGAGCAAAATACTATTTCTGTATTAATTTCGTTTATTAAAAGAGTACAATTATTTTATTAAAGTAATTGTTCACATTGGAACTTTGTATCATTTTTCTTCAACAATATTTTTTCAATTTGGTTTTCAATTAAAATTGCGATTTGTAGAATAATTTTCGGGATGATTTATTGTTTACATTTACTCAAACTCAAGGTAAATTGTTAATCATTTAACATCGTTTTATGATCAAGATCAAAATATATAATGCTATTAAAAATATTTTCAATATCTCGCTTGGCAATTGCATTGCTCTTCTAATAATTGTATTTGCAAAAGCATTTAATAGAAGTAAATTTATTATTTTAAATACAAACACTGAAAAATTCTACACAACATTTATTTAATAAACAATGATCTAAACAAAATATATATAATATCAACAGTTCTTTGGTAATAATGACTAGAAAAAACAATAGTTTGAATATTTATAAAACAAATTGACTAGTAAATTAGATTTGATTTTTCAGCAAAATTACTCCTAAATACAAATATCTAAAGAGCCTAATCTATATATAAGATATGATGTAAACTATTTTAATCCTCGGAAGAGCCATCAAATATAGCTACCCACAACATGGCAGTGAATACAATAAAAATCGAACCCGGTATTAAAACTGTCATTGTTATATCTTTACTGTAACTTCTCTCGGGCACTTGGTCTTTTCTAATATTGAACCATCTTTCAGCATCATGGGGATCTGATGCTATTTTTGAGTCCTCTGATTGATGCCTTGATACAGATCCATAATTATCTTGCTAAATTGAAAATCATAATATTCAAGTACCAAATTTGTAGAGAAATGAAATTTATGGAATATTTACCAAGCGAAAAGCACACCAATCCAATGCAAATGCTGCATCACGAAATATTCTTTCAACTGTTGTTCTTTTAAAATCACGTGGGCAAGAAGTCAATTTGAACAGTGGTTTTACCTCCTCCTAAAAATTTCATTGGAATAAAGAAGAATCATATAAAAATAATTATATTTTGATAATGACCTGTAATTCTGTGAGTTCAGTGGAGTATGGTTTAGAACTAGCCAATCTCACAACAACTCTGCCAAAAATGAATTGTAATAATTATAAATAAATAAAAATAACGTCAATTTTTTTTAAGTTTACCCTTCTTTTTCATCTGGCATAAGTGGCAATCTAGCGCCTAAATGAATAGCTGATTCTACAAATGTTACATAGATATCAGTCGCTTCTCTCCACATTTTCTTTTTAAAAACATCTAATAACCGATCCATACGATGGGGGTCTAACATATCCTCCACATTTAGGCTATCAATTTTTAGTTGTACCTAAACAATTTTCAATTACTGTTAGAACAATTTGTAAATTTGCTAAAAGGAATATTTTATAAGCACCTCATGCCGAACTGCCAGTGGTTTCTTGTGTACATTTACCTCAATGATTGCAGTTCGTGTTTCATAATTTTGATAGTTTAAGCCTATCACTTGGATCTAAAATGAATTTACATTGCATTATTCAAGTAATAATGAGTTAAGTTTGCTCAAGTCAATTTATTGAATCATTTATCAAATGCGAATTTCTATAAGCAAATCATTAATACCAATATGATATTATTATTATCATTTACTTGCAAATTCTGTTGCACAACTGGTGGAGTACCATATAAAAAGCCTGCATGCTGTTGTTTACTATATGTGTAGCGTAACCATGAAGGAAGATCAGGAAGCCCAAGCAAGGAACAACTGTAACTGTACTGTTCGGTTAATCCTACAATAAGAAATGAAACTAGATTTTCTGAGGGCTTTTGAAAGTTAATCATTTCATATTTGTTTTGATACCTTGAAAAGTCCAGTTAAACATACGAGGTTCAATTTTAATGGAAAACATTTCTGCTCCATATACATTTTCAGATTTTGCACCCTCACATGCAAAAAATATTATAAAGCATATAGTAATTTGTGAGCAAAATTCCTTCGTAAACATTTTGAGAATTGACCTAATTTAATCTGAAAGAAAATACTGCTATAAGAAATTATTGGAATACCACATACATATGTGCTTAAATTTTTTTTATCAGTAGCGCTGTTATTACTTTAAATCATTATGTAATAATAAAGCCGTTAAAAGCTCATTTTAACAATAAGCGAGCTTAATGACAGGCGAATGAATAATAATTGTTGTGTTGTGGCATTCCTGCAACCTAACTTTGTGTGCGTGCGATCTGCGATCCACTTACACGCCTGTTACAAGCTTCACACTCATTTATACTCTTCTTTTATCTATGTTCACACTATAGAAGCTTTATTGCGACTTCCGTCAAAAACAGCTTCCGCAAAGGAAATAGTACAAGAGCCCTAGACAACAATTGTAATTACACCCATTGTAGTTGATATATATTTAAAAATCATTGTAGTGTGTCAATGGGTTTACACTCATTGTAGTAGATTTACAATGTATTGTGGTAGTTGATTTACTATGCTCATTGTAGTAGATTTACGCTCATTGTAGTAGATTTACACTCATTGTGGTTGATTTACTATACTCATTGTAGTAGATTTACTACATTAATGATTTTTAGATTTAAACATTAATCAAAGAATTCTTTAATAGTCCCTTTTCGGCCGACTATTGTAAATTCATCAAATTTATTGAATGTCTTTTACTGGACAGTTGTAAATAAAAGAGATAATAATAAAAAAAATTATAGTAGATTTACACTCATTTATTGCAGTAAGTTTATACTCATTGTAGTAGATTTACTACATATTGTAGCGATTTTGTAAAAGGTTTACGCTTATTGAGCTACATTTACACACATTGTAGTAGATTTATACTTATTGGTTTACAAGCATTGTAGTTCATTTAACAATGCTCATTGAAGCTGATTTATAATAGTAATTGCAATATTACACTTATTGTATTATACTACAGTCAATATAGCGATTTTACACTCATATTGTGGTTGGTTTACACTTATTGTAGTAGATTTACACTCATTGTAGTGGCTTACAAACATTGTGGTTGATTTACTATACTCATTGTAGTAGATTTACACTCATTGTAGTGGGTTTAAAAGCATTGTGGTTGATTTACTACATTCTTTGTAGCGATTTTACACTCATTGTAGTTGTCTCACACTCATATGGGTGTAACTCTACTAGTAGTAGATTATACTCATGTAGTAGATTTACAAACATTGTTGTTGATTTATAAATGTAGTATACTCCACATTCATTGTAGCAATTTTACTCATTGTAGTTGGTTTACGCTTATTGAGGTAGATTTACACTCATTGTAGTAGATTTACTACGTTCATTGTAGCGATTTTACACTCATGTAGTTCGCTTATGCTTATGGTGGTAATTTACACTCATTGAAGTGGGTTTTCACACATTGTAGTGGATTTACCAAGCATTATAGTTGATTTACTACGCTCATTGATGAATTAAATTTACACTCACTTTGTAGATTTACTACATTCATTATAGTGATTTTACATTCATTGTAGTTTGCTTACGCTTATTATGGAAGACATGGATAAAAGAAGAGTGGTGGAAGATTTACGCTGATTGTAGTGGGTTTGCAATGATTGTTGTTGATTTACTATGCTCATTGATGTAAATTTACACTCATTGTATTAGATTTACTACATTCATTGTAGCTATTTTACACTCATTTTACACACTTTATAGTCAATTTACTACAATCATTGTGGTATATTATACTCAATATATTACGTTTACTCTCATACAAATCGATTTAAATTCATTGTAGTAGTTCTAAAGGTGTATGTGTGTAGGTCGCATGCAGATTTTCTGAATAAAACATTCATTTAACTAGTGGAAATTGTCCTGAAAATTAATTTTCTTTAAATACATTATTCACAAATGCTAAAAAGTGAATGCACAGTAATAAAAACAGTCTATAACAATTATGTAAATTTATTCAAAAATAAAAATTCAGAACCAAATAATAAAAATAAACTAAATTTATACATAGGATGGTGATAACCTTCATAACTTTCAAGAAGTATTTTCGTCAATATATTCAAAGTTTCTCCTAAACTTTCATCGTTTAAATCTACTCTTCATTAAAGATAATGTTTTCATCATAAGTGGAGCTCTCTTAGGCTTATGACCTGAATGAAAATAAATGTATTAAATATTGACAATAAAATAAGTAATGAAAGAATAATATAGGTTTTATTACTAGTAGTTGCTTGTGCATGATCAGGTGCATGAGCTCGTACTTTCAATCTAGAATCTCCAAGCTTTGCTATGTTGCTCTGAATTCCACTTAAAGAGCTAACTCGTGCTGCTGGTGTTGCTACAGCAGCGTGCGCAGTTCCATATTGCGCCTAAAATAATTTACAACTTAGAAAATAGTATGAATGGCACTAAATTAATTATTATGAATTATTTAGCCTTCTATGTATAAGTTTGCTGATTAATGATTAATGGTTTACCTTAAAAAAATATAATCCAATTTACAAATGTATCCTTAATATAAAATATATACATGGAAATATTATATTGAAGAATTAATTAATCTTATAAAATGTATTCATAATATATGTTTTGGAGTGTTAGTCCTCACAAATTATGGTATTGGAGTGGACAAATACGAGTGCCCAATTTAACTCGTTTCTTCTGAAAAGTGTTTAAACACTTTTTTTACAAAGATTATTATTCTGGATAAATTTTAATATCCATTTATAAAATCTACTGTGCTTACCTGCTTTCTTGCAACATTTCGTGGTGGTTTAACAGTTGAGTCAAAATATGCCATCTTAGCTTTGCGAATCGGTTGAGATTTATCTTGAGATTGTTTTATATTAGCAGTGATTGAACGTAATTTTGCTTCTTGCTCATCTAATGACCTCTGTGAATGGCAATGCAGCAGAATATAGATTGTAACAATTTGTAAAACTGTTATTATAATATCTACAGCAGGTATTCATACCAAAAACATTTCTCTCCAGCTTTCCATTTCCAATCGTTGTTTCCCTCTAAATTTTCTCTTGCAATGCAGCTCCCATAACTCATCAGAATCTTCTACGAGATAAGGATTGTGATCTTCTAATGTAAATAGTTGTTGTGGTGATGCTCTTTCTAATACAGGGCGTAGTATGTCATAAGGCACACCGCCTGTGTATTCTAGTGCTGAAAGTGAAGTTGAAAGTAAATACCATTGAAGAATCCATATAGAATAAATATGTTCTTACCATCTATGTTCTCTTGTAACAATCTGATGCATAAGTTGTACAACGATGGAACATGAGTTAAAGAACCCTTATTTCCAGAATAGACCTTGGTTCTGAAAAATGACAATCAGGATCAATATAATTATATGTATATTATATATATATATATATATATATATATATATATTTAATTACCTGGTATTTTTACTTGACATTGATAGACCTACGGCATTCTGTGCAGTCATCTTTGGTTTATTGTCTTCTTCAATATAAGGCATGGGCCTATAGTTTGGTGAGATGGCAGGAATGGCAGATAGATCTATTTGTAAAGGAGGCAAACTTACAGTTGGTGATAACAACTTTGGAGTGTCTAGTACTTGCTGCAATAATAGATTTATAAAAGTTTATTATTGATATAACATTGAACAAAGTGCAACTTACTGATGGATTTACTGCAGATTTACTTGATGATGGAGTATTATTCATGCTCGACTTCTTTTTTGGAGACTTGGTACAAACAAATCCTAATGCCTCTTCAAAACTTTGCCCTTTAATACACAAGATTTATAATTTATCAAATTGTATATGAAAATATTCAAATTGACGCTAATTACCAGAATTTGAACCTATGCCATCATCTATCTCTAATGTTTTTCTTTTTTTATCTTTATGATCATCACTTTTGGAAGATTTATGGCTGCGATTTTCACTTTTAACTTTCTCATGCAATTTTGTATGTTTAGATGAACTGGAGTTATGTCTTTCTGTTGCATCTTCATTTCTAGATTCATGCTTCTCTGTTTTTTTGTTGCTAGATGTAGATTTGTCAATTCTATGTGTTTTTTCACTTTTATGCTCCTTATCACTTTTATTTCCTTTGTCAGTTCTATGTTCTTTTTCGCTCTTATGACTTTTATCACTCCTATGTTCTTTATCACTCCGATGTTCTTTATCGCTCCGGTGTTCTTTATCGCTCCGGTGTTCTTTATCACTCCTATGCACTTTATCACTTCTATGTTCTTTATCACTTCTGTGTTCTTTATCACTTCTATGCACTTTATCACTTCTGTGTTCTTTATCACTTTTATGCTCTCTATCACTCTTATGTCCTTTATCACTCTTATGGTCCTTACTCCTATATTCTTTATCACTTTTATGTTCCTTATCATTTCTAGGCTCTTTATTACTCCTATGTTCCTTATTTTTAAGTTCCTTATCACCATGATGTTCTATATTATTTTTATGAATTTTCTCTTTTGAGTTGCTTGATTTATGTTTTTGATGTTTTTTATGATCTTGTTCATCAGAATTGCTTGTATTAATATCATGCCCGCTAGAGTGCTTGTTGTGTGTTTTACTAACTTCCTAGAATTGAAAATTAAATTTACTTGTTACTAATTATTTTCTTAGCATTTAAATATTGGAAATATAAATAAAAATAATAATTTACATTATTTTCATGTTTTGTTCTCTTAGGTGAATTATGTGCTTCAGGATCTTCATTTCTGTGACGTTTATGAGATTTGTGAGAAGGTATTCCATTTTCTATTTGTTTTATGTTGTCATGTATCTGACTAGTATTAAATGAGTTAGGTGTTTTATCTTCTTGTTTACTATGATTACTATATTTATGATTAACATCCTTACTGCTACTATTACTTTCACTATTGTGTGATCGTCCAGAATTATGTTTCACAACCTTTTCTGAAGCTGTGACGTAAGCTACAAAAATAATGAATAATTACTTGAAATACTAATACATGAAATGCAAAATTAAGTG